AAATGAAAGTCTGATACATGCTACAACATGGATGAATGTTGAAAACATTATGTTGAATGAAATAAGCCAGACACAAAAGGGCAAATATTGTATGATTCCCTTATAAGAAGAAGGTAGAATAAGCAAAGTCATAGAGACACAGAGTAGAACAGAGTTTACCAGGAGCTGGGGGAAGGAAGAATGGGGAGTTGTTTAATGAGTATGGTTTCTGTTTGAGATGATGAAAAATTCCAGAAATTGTTGGTAACGATGGTTGCACAACATTGAGGATGTACCTAATGCCACTGAATTATACTTAAAAATGATTTAAATGGCAAATTTTATATTATGTATATCTTACCACAATATTTTTAAATGAAGGAAATCTGAATAAAATATAGACTTTAGTTAATAACAATGTATCAGTATTGATTCATCAATTGTAACAAATGTACCATATTAATGAAAGATGTTAAAAATAGGGGAAAATGGGTATAAAGTATATGGGAACTTTCTGTACTATCCTCTCAATTTGTCTGTAAATCTAAAATTGTTCCAAAAAATAAAGTCTAGGGAATTCCCTGGCGGTCCAATGGTTAGGACTCTGTGCTTTCGCTGCTGGGGGCCCGGGTTCAATCCCTGGTCGGGGAATTAAGATCCCACAAGCTGTGTGCACAGCCAAAAGGAAAAATAAAATAAAATAAAAAATAAAGTCTATTTTTAAAAATTCAAGGGAGATAAAGGTTAACAGCACTAATATTCCCTACCTCCTCCCATAAAAAGACAAGAAAAATGCTCTTTAAATGAATAAAAAACATGAGCAAGTAATCAGAAAAATTAATGCCAGGGACATGAACAAGCAAGTCACAAAAGAAATGAAAATGCTACAAAAATCTATGCAAAAATATTGAAACTCGTAGGGTTGTGTAAGGATAAATGAGTTCATATACTTAGCACAGTGTTTGGCATACAATAAATGAAGCTACTAAAACATAACTGATAACAAAAGAAATACAAATTTAAATAACAAAAAAATATGTATATGTGTATGTAGGTTATATGTGTGTGTGTGTATATGTGTATATATGTACACATGTGTACATGTAAATATCCTTTGAGTGAATGATTTCAAAGATACCTGTATATGGATATTCATTGCAACAAAATAACACAAAAAAACTGGAAACAGTCCAAAAGTCTACCAATGGGGGTTAAACAAACATAACTAAACATTATTATACAAAAATGTGGCAGATGTATGTATACTGATGACAACTGTCTAAGAAAAATAATAATGAATTGTAAAATTTTTTAAATGGAAGGGATTAAACTAGGTTAGGACTACAACTGCATGCAAAACTATGTGTTTATGTATGTAGTGACCCAAAACGGGTCACTAAAAAATCACTAAAAAGCCTCCCCAGCTCTGAGTATCTGAGAAATGTAGTTAGGTTATACTCAAAGGAGGAAGCCTTTGGGAAGGAAAGAAATGCTCTCAAACTTTTAAGGACATAATAGATACCTCAACTACAAAACACAAATTTTTATTTCAAAATGCCTAATGTGAAGGAAGTTATTCTTCAGATGAGCTTATATTCACTAGTTAATTACAAACCTCAACCAAAAATTAAAGAGCAAAAACAATCTTCAACATGTGTGACCAGTTCAGGCTTAAATTACAGGTAAAGCAAAATCCTATAGAAGCAAAAGGAGGCAAAATTAAGTAGTAGTCCCATTGGACATAATCAAGTAGCTATAATATTATGGACTGTAGTTAGTACTCATAACTGTAAAGGTTCAGGAGTTATACAGTGTTAACTAAATTTTTTCTTTAAGAAAAGTGGATTAAAATAAGAAAAATAAGTTAGGTCTTACAGTTTTGTGGGCTTTCTTTGAGCCAAAACAAAATAAATCTTTTTCTGGAGGCAGATTGGGGGTAGGGGGGAGTCCAATACTTTTGGAACTAATATACAGTAAATTAATATTTTAAACAATACAGCCACTAGAATCAATGGGACTTAATGAAGACTGGAATATATGAGTAAATAATAGCAGGGGTACTCTCTATCCTAAAACAAAAATATACCTTAGAACTGTGGTTCTCAACCAGAAGTAATTTTGCCCCCTAAGAGACATATGGCAACATCCAAAGACATTTTTGACTGTCAGGCCTGAGATGGTGCTGCTGTATACAGTGAGTAGAGGCCACGGAGGTGACAAAACATCTTACAGACCCACCTACCCACCCAAAACGTCAACAGTGCTGAAGTTGAAAAACCCTACCTTAGAAACAGGCTGGGGGTGGCAGGGAGAAACCATTGAATCTATGCTTTGAAATAATCAACTTTAACGTAGAAATCCTAAATCAACAAGGTTTGTTTACCTGTTTAGAAATATTGACATCTTATCAAATAGCATGGAATCTATTAAAATGACATAATTTTCAAAGTGTTACTCAAAAGAAAGTTAATTGGATTTCCAATTTATCTAAACCTTTGAAATTCTGCAAAAGCCACAGGCAAAAAAAGACAACAAATTAATGCTAAAAGAAAAAAGTTTTTATACACACACACACATTCTCTGATTCTCACAACCAATATTGAGCAAAAGAAGAATACATTTTGCGTGATTCCATTTATATACAGTTCAAGAACAGGCAAAAACTTTTCTCTTATGTTAGAAATCAGAATAGTGGTTCCTCTGGAGACAAAGAAAAAGTAGAGATGGGAAAGAACACGGGGAGGACTTCTGGGATGGTAATAATTTTGTACTTCTTAATCTGGGTAGTACTTCCATAACTTTCTTTGCTTTGTGACAATTCATCAAGCTGTGTACTAATAATTGGTACACTTTACTGTATACAGATAACCCTTTAATAAAAAGGTTTACTTTATAAAATGGTATATATTTATATCCTAAAAATTGAGCATTTTGACCCAGAAAGCGAAATTAATGTCAAGAGCAAAAGTAAAGTGCTTTTGTTATACAGGCTGCCTTCCAAGAATTCAAGAAGGATGACACCCCCAGAAAGCTGTAAATACCATACTCAGTGATCGCAGAGCATTCAGCCGTACACTTAAGCCACTATATATCCCTTGGCACAAATCCAAAAATTGGACAAACACTTACAAATGCAGTTGGATGTATTCCACAGAGTTTGTTTGGATTATTTCCCCCAATGTTAAATTGGGAACTGTTATCAGAGAACAGGCTCTATGAAACAAATGATGCTTTCTCTCTCCTAATCCCACACTTTCCCAAAGCTCTCCCAAACTAAACCCCTCTTGGCTCTTGACTCCTTTAGGATTTCTCCAGGATGCCTGTAACAGTGTCCATCATTGCCTCTCCCAGTATCCACTCTCACAGTCCACCTCCCGCCACACACATGAAAATTCACATTAATGCTCACTCCAGGGGCTAGTCTCCCCCACCAGACTTTCATTCTCCCCAGCACCTTGCAAATACAATCCGAACTTCAGTACCCTCAAACTCATACCCTCCACAAACTCCCTTCCCAACAGCACCCCAAAACCAGGGCCCATGCTACCCCAGTCTTTTAGATCCTCTTCTAGCGCACAGAAAGCCCTTGCTTCTGCAAACAACTCAGCTCCATAGCCACCACTGTAGCTCTGATCTCCAGCTCTCCTTCCCTTTAGGGGTCCCCACATCCCCACACTTTCCTGTATTCAAATCCATCCCATTGCCCATCCCCCCTCTGCCCCCAGCCTCTGCTTTCTTCCATCTGACTCTTTCCTAAGTACTAAGACAGGGATGGGAAGTTGGAGGAAGGGTAGGAAAGAACTTTGTCCTGTGTGGAGATGGTGGAGAAAAGACTGTTCAAGCCTGCAACACAACAACCACGTGCTGGGGCTACAGTCAGAGGCTGGATTCTGAAAGCCCGCCCCACCACTCACTAATGGCAAGGCTTTGGCCAAGCGATTTTACAAACTTAAGCCTCAGTCTCTTGAACTACAAAATGGAGCTAATAAAAATAGCTACCTCCCAGAGTTGTGAGATTAAATCAACTACCAGCCAGCTGAGCACTTGGCACAAACCCAACATGGTAAATTCTCAACGACTGACCGTTTCTCTTAGGTCCTCTTCGTGGATGCGGGAAGATGAAAGGTACTTTCTTTCCGTCTCTTTAATGCTAAAGTTCCTGCAAAGTCTCCTCTTGGGGGAGAGCAAGAAGGCAACGGAGAGAAGGAAAGAAGTACTCTACAGATAGGTGGGTGATACAAAGAATTTTGTCAGGTCCCCAGACTCGGTGTTCTCTCTCTATTATCCGCTTACAATGTGGACGGATCCAAGTTGGATCCAAGAAGCCCTTTATGCCTTGCTAAAGGATGGGGGAAGACATGAATATATACAGCAAATGTGCCTCCACGGATACTCATTTGACGGAATGCAGTAGACCCCCGCCAAATTGCAAAAATGCGTTCCTTGGGGGTCGGAGAATTAGGAAGGAAACCCAAAGTCCCAAAGGATTTTTCTTGAGAGTTTAAGGGAGTACTTCATAATAAGGAGAGATTAAAAGTAAATGCTGGAAACCCTAAAGACTTCTCACTTCGCCCGCAGCACAGAGTATCAATTGGTTTGTCAGCAAGTGAGTGAGTTGAGAAAGGAAAAGCGCTTTCGCCCGTCTCTCCTGAGACACCGGGGCTTCCCCGGGTCCCTTCCCAAGAGGGATAAAGGGGAAGGCCTGCGCCAGGGAATCCCCAGCTCCCTACGGAGTGGGACAGGCGGGCCCCCAGTGAGTTTCACTGGGTCCCTTCCCGCCTCTTCCCAGCCCATCTCCTGTAACGGGATGTCTCCTGGGACTCGAGGATCCCCCCAGAGGTTCGGCCATCCCTGGATTCCTCCCCTCCCAAGACCTCTGGACAGCCCTCCTCGGTCCTCAGAGTTCTTCCCGGTCACTTCTCAGGGTCTCCCGGCCAGTACAGGGTCAGCCCGCCGCCCACGGGGTCCCCTCATTGGCCTCCTCCCGGCCGCTCCCGAGCGCCGCGAGCCCGTGGGGTTACCTGCTGAGACGGCAGCTCCACATGCAGGGCCCGCGCGGCAGAACCGGGAGGCAGCGCGGCGGCCGGGCCCGGGGGCGGCGGGAAGACCGGTCCCCCGGCCGACGCTGAAGCGCTCATCTTGACCCGGGAGCCGCCAAGCGGCTGGGCCGGCGCTCCTCCGGCATCCGCCACCACAGCCTAGTCACGACCCGCTGAGCCCCTGTAGCCCAGAAGCCAGAGATCGGAAG